CATATATATATATATATATATATATATATATATATATATATATGCAGGCGTCTGTGTGTAGGAGAGAGAGAAAGAAATAAATAAATAAAAGAAGGAGCGAGTGGGACACGCGAGCCGACGCGAGATTCACATGAGCGGGGTGGGCCTCTGACACTTAGTGCCTCTTTCTCTTTCCCCACTCTTTACCCTCTACACATGGCACAAGGAAGGAACAAAAAGGGAGAGAGAGAGAGAGAGAGCAGCATCGTGAGGTGAAGTGACATGGGCAGCCACGCAAGGAAGGGGCACAAGCCAAAATCCCGCGCGGCAAAACCCAACACGCGGCATGCCGGTGACAGCAGCAGCACCGCCATTCATGAGTCCCCGGTTGTGAAGCCGCCACCGGTTCCTCCGTGTGTGGCGAAGTTGACCTCGACAGACTGGAATGTGGTAGAGGAGGGCTGCGCGGATGTGGCAGCCTTCGCGCTGCAGCCCTTGCAGCACGCAAACCTGTTGGCGCACGCCGTGCCGCAGCGACTCACGGAGATCCTCTTCGCCGCAGCTGCGCCCGCGTCGGCTGGCCAGCCTCATGAAACAAACAGTCAGGCATCGCTGCAGCAGCCTCACGCTGGGGTGTTTTACCTACAGACGGCCGCCGCAGAGGCCCTGCGAAACTTTGTGGTGAACAGCGTCGAGGACGTCGTAGTGGACGCGTTGGCGGCTTCTAAATTTCCCATGTGTGGTGCATCGCAGGATGGCAACGAAGGAGGCGTCACGTTCCGTGATGGCCTGGTTGCGCTCCTGATGACCACATGGGACGCGGTGCAGAATGCGCGCCGGGATGCGCCGCTGGTCCCGCCCGCGGTTGTGCAGGACGAGGAGGGGGGTGACATGCGTGATAGCCTTCGCCACGCGCCGTTTGTGGTCGCCGCCCGCGCGCTGGAGGAGGTGCTGCAGTTGATCGCGGTCTGCGTGGAGGGTAATGAGCACGTGGCGGAGGCCTTCTCTGCACCCCATGTTCTGCGCACGCTACTGTCCCTGCTAGAGGCAACAACCAGCGTCGTCTGGGAAACTCTACAGCACCCCGCACAGTTGTACCGGGCCACCGTGGAGAGTGGCGTGGTGTGGCTACGCCAGTACAAGCGACGTGAGGCGGAGCTCTTGGCTGCCGTTGCTGTGGCAGGGAGTGAGGTGTTGCACGTGTTGAGTGACGAGAATGAAGCGCTGGCGTCGCTTCTGCAGTCATCCGAGATGATGGCGTCTCACCAGGCTTTTCTCACAAGCTCCCTCGACGCCACCACGATCATGGCTTGGCTGCGGGAGGAGGAACCCTCCGTTGTGTTGACGTCTCCTTTCCTTGCTGCTACGGCAGTGGCGGGGGGAGAAAACGAAGAGGAAAGGGAGGACGACACGCTGTTGTCCACCGGCCGTCAAAATATCCTTTACCAGTTGTGCCAGGTCTCCTTGCGTGTGCAGGGGACACTTATGAACTCTGTCTCAAGCACGGCGAACGCTGCCAGAGTGCTGCCGCTAGTGGTGGCGGTATTAGATGCCCACCCGCCTCACAGTGAGTGGCGTCGTACGGTGCCACTGCTGCTGCAGGAGTGTGCACTGGGGGAGGAGCACCGTGCTGCTCTCGTACAGCGTGCCTTGTGGCGGCTGCGGTGCGACCAGGCTGCGGTAAATGTGCTGCATGCCGCCGTGGACGCCATCTGCAGTCTCAACGAGGCGGACGCCGATGATGAAACGGCGTTTCAGCGTAATCCTCAGGCAAGCCTACTGTACAGCACAAACGCCATGTACGTCGTGGGAAAGCTAATGAAGGACGCCCTCCGACTAACACCTACAAACGCTAACAGTAATAACAATAACAGTAACCCAAACACTAACACGGAAACCACGCATGTCTCCGCCTTCGGCTCCGTAAACTGTGAGGACGACGTCATGGTGGAACGGGCACTACGCGCCGCCGCTGGAACCTCTGGAACAGGCGGCTTCATCACGAAACTTCAGCTTCTGGTGCTTTCCAACGAGGTGGGGGTGTGGAGCCTGGCCAACACGTTGTTGATGATGGTCCCCTGGTCAGGTCTTGGTGCGGAGCCGGCCCACATCTGGCGCGCCATCATTCACGCCATAAGCCTGCGTTCGCAGCTCCTTGCAGAGGCGGTAGCAGGAGACGTCAATGCACGCGCCAACGGAGTGACAACAGTGCTGGAAACGACACCGGCAGCCATGAATTTGTTACGCCTTCAGCTAGAGTCACTCGTGCAGATGTTGTGGACGCTGCAGCGAAAGCAGGCGGCTCACGCGGGTGGACCGCTTCAAGTCACAAACCACCTCGCCGCCACGGCGGCTGACGTGGACGTCGTGACGCGACTTGCATGGGACACGCATGCCACACCGCTGCAGAAGCAGGCCTGTGTGGGAGTGGTGTGTGCCACGTGCACCTCCTTCAAGAGCGCGGAGGCCACCACCGCGGCGGCACGCTTTGCACTGGGCATCCTTCAGGTAGATGATACGCTGCAGAGCACCACTGCAGCGGCTTTGGCGGCAGCCGCGCCACCGCCACAGGCAGCGAAGGGCGAGAACGGCGAGACGCGTAGGCGGTGGATGGCGAACATTGCGGCCACCGACGCGCAGTGGCGCGTGCGCTGCGAGGCGTCCAACCACATCATGGACCTCTTCCTTGACGAGACGCACGACGATGCTGTATACGTTCCACTCCGTGTTCACGCTGCCCTTAAGTCGTTCCTGACCCCATTTCAGGCATACTTGAAGAGGCGCCAGCAGATGGTGCGGGAGACGCAGCGGAACTACCGCATTGTTCTCCCCGGCGTCGAGGACGCGGCGAACTGGTGCGAGGTAGCCGAGAACCTCTCCGCCTTTTTAGAGTACAAGACACAACACATTGGACGACAACGGCTATGAGCAATCACTGGTCGGTGCGTCTAAGTGAGGTTGCACGATGGAGAACCGTTTGTGCCGGAGGAGGGGGGCAGTGTTTCTTGGCAGGCGGTGGGAGAGAGAAGGGGAGGAAGTGACGATTAAGCACGCAAGTGGTGGGGGGAGGGAAGGGAAGGTAATGGTAGCGAAGGTGCTGCGCTTGAAGAGCGCACCCCTACAGAAATGAGAAGATATGGGAATAGAAGGAAAACTGGTGGGGAAGTGATGAGTGACGTCTTCGGTGCATCCCTTTGGGTGGGTGGATGCCTGGACACACTGCGCCTGAGAGACCCACACGCACACGCGCTGACTGAGTGAGTGTCACGTACTCTTTTTTTGTATATTATTCCTTCCTTTCCTATTCTTTCTTGTTCTCTCTCTCCCACGTTGGTGTCGTGCGCGTGTGTGTCTGTTGGAAGACCTATCAACAACTGTGCGCATCACATATCTCCACAAAGTAACGCAGCGGGAATTGAATCAAGGCATTGTACGATTTGCAGCAGAAACAGACTCCTCACCGTTGACGTCATGGCTCAGTGCAGCAACCCACACGGAAGCCCCGTGCTTGTTGGCATCATGGGCGGATCGGGCGTTTACCACCTGCACACCTTGGGCGACGCGAAGTACTACGCCATCGATACCCCCTTTGGGCGGCCAAGCGCCGATGTCTGCGTGGCGACGGTCGGGGGCGTCCAGTGCGCATTCCTGCCGCGCCATGGCGTGGGGCACACAGTGAACCCGTCCGAGGTGAACTACCGCGCCAACGTGTACGCGATGAAACTGCTCGGGGTACGCTACCTCATTGCCATCAACGCCGTTGGCTCTCTTGCCAGTGAATACAAGCCTGGCGACCTCGTGTTGGTGGACCAAATCATTGACCGCACCACGGCACGCAAGTCGACATTCTTTGAAGACGGCATCGTCGTCCACTGCGACTACGCCTTCCCTATCTCGGAGGCCTTTCGCACTCTCGCCCGGGATGTCCTGCACCGCACGTTTCCCGGCCTTGCCACAGGGACGGAGGGGTGGAAGCTGCACGAAAGCGGCACAATTGTAACGATGGAGGGGCCGCAGTTCAGCACCAAGGCGGAGTCCCTCATGAACAAGCAGCTGGGCGGGCACCTGATCGGGATGACGACGGCACCGGAGGCGAAGCTGGCACGCGAGGCGGAGATGGCGTACCTCGTCATCGCCATGGTGACCGACATGGATGCCTGGAGTGATGCCCCCCATGTTCTTGGGGCGGAGGTACAGAAGACGATGGCGTTGAACGTTGAGAAGACGCGGAAGTCTTCATTGGAGCTCATTACGGCCGTGGGTGCCGCTCCCTTTGCGGATCCCGCGCACAGTACGCTGCAGCACGCCATTGCCACCGTCCCGTCCGCTGTAACGAAGGAGGTGCGGGAGCGACTCGCCCTGCTCCTGGCGAACTACCCGAGCTTTGCCCCATGATTGTAGCGTGTACCGAAAGGTTTATTTGTGTATGTCGCTGCTTGCTCTACATATGGAGTGAGTACGGGAGGGAGTGTGATGAGAGGAGTGAAATACGCAGGCCCACATAGCGGCCATGCTGGCCACATCACCGTCTGTTTAGTGGAATAAACTACTGTTGCATAATTGTTATATTTTTCATTTGTTCGTGCATGTGTGTGTGTGTGTGTGCATACGAGAGAAGGGGGTGGGGGGAGGTGTATGCACGCCTGTGTACTTGCAATGTGAGGTTATTGTGTTTCTGGAGTACGTGGACCACTTCAGTAGGTGACTTACATCTATTTTTATTTTACATTAATTTTTTTCATGACGGTTCCCGTATGCAGGTAATTCGGCCATCCGAGGACGTCCTTCGCCCAAACGCTGATTTGTTGGAGGTGGGTGCGCTTCCATAAATGTAGTCTAACCCCCCTCTTTTGCGTCGGTGCTAGGGAGACGGACGGACAACGAAAGAAGAAAATAGGAAAGGAGCTGCGGTGTGGTGTCATGGAGTGGGGAAGAGGGAGGCAACAATGTTCGCGATGATGATGCTGCCTTTGTTTATCCCTTGTCACTTCCTTCACTTTTTGTGCGCTGCAAGGGTGGGTGCACTGTCTCGCTGTATATTCCCGCTTTCCTTCTTTGGGTGCGGCCACTGGGCTCGCGGAAAGTAAAGACGAGGGTGGAGCAGCAAGCAGCACTCGGAGCTTTGTCTCTCTCTCTCTCTCTCTCTCTCTCAACCCAGACGTGCATACACGTGGACGCGTACCAGTGTGTGGGCAGGCTTTGCGAGCAAGGCAGGCCCTTATCACCCGCCGCTGTAACTTGTCGCTTCGGTTTTGGCTCAAATGGGCTTGTGTGCCTCTTGTGGGGTGTGGCACCGTCATGGGACCCTCGATCCGGAGAGCCGTCGTCGTGTGCGTCTAACACGTCACGAGTGTATGGCCGCACTGATTGGCGGAGCAGCGAATAGGGACAAGGAGGTGGCAGTGGACGGGGCTTTCCAGGTTAAGGCGCCCCGTGCCTGCCGTGGCCACGGAAGCAGGCGCAAGGTGGAGGGCAGTCGCGGCAGACGTTTTGGTGGCGGCAATGAGGAGGTTACTGCGGCGACACCTGGTAGTCGTGCCCGAAGATACAGGCTGTTGCGGGTGGCGAATGTGCTGTGTTCCGCCGCGCTATCTTCAGGGGGTGGGAGGCTGGCGGCCGTGACAGCCCCGCCGAAGGATGCGGTCCCCGCAGGAGAGAAGGGCGGGTCGTTCTTTGCGCACGATGAACTGGTTCGGCATGACGCGGGTGTCTGGACTTCACAAGACCCCGTCAGTAGGGCGGGCCTGCATCATCACGCAGGCGCCTCTGCGGACGTCGGGGACGTGGTCGTCTTGTGCCGGCAGATAAGGCCGCATCTGCAGGAATGCCACGGTGGTGCGGTGAACTCTGGCAACGGGGGTACGAGTAACATTTTAGCGTTGCGCAGAGAGCAACCAGCGGTAACGAACGCCGCTTTTCTGCCTGTGAATACCGAGCACCACCGCAGTGATGCAACAAACAAGGACGCACGGCGTGAGCACTGCGAGAGGCGACCTCGACGCAATATCTACCACCACCTGCTGCAGCCGATGCACGGGCATGTAAAGGCGGGGCGCGACGAGCGCACGGCAGGGAATCGGTATCCGCCGTATGGTAGGTGCGGTGGCGCGCCATTGCCTGTGCCGTCCTTGTTGCATAATGGGGCGTCTGCGCGGCACGTGGTGGAGTGCTTCATTCAGACGTTGATGAAGCGGGCGCGGGCGGTTGCGGAATCCAACAAGGCGACCTTGCGTAACTCATCTAGACAGATCTCAACGCACAGCAACGAGGTGGGCACTTTGAAGGGTGGAAGCAATGGGCACGGTAGCGATAACGACGGCATTATTGGCAGCGAGAAGAAACGACAGCAGTGGCAGCAGGAGACAGAGGGGCAGCGAGGGCAAGACGCACTAGACGCGTTGCGGCTTGTGTCTCCGTATGTAAATAAAAAGGAGGAAGGTGAAATTCATTTAATGCCCAGTTGTTGTGCCGTCACAACGGAACAGCACGGCTCTTTTCACCGTGGCCGTCTCAGTAACCAGGCGATTGCGAACGACGGCGGATTGTCAGCCGCGGGGGTTATGGGACGGGAGGCGCGCAAAAATAGTGCTGAGGAGTGCAGCCTCGTCAGCACAGCTGCCTTTGACGGTACGATCATGCCCTGTGAGGACAGCATCACCAAGTGCAGTGTGAAGAGTTTCCGCGGGATGCTTTGGCTTCCGCCGCTTGGCGCCGATTCCCGTTCCCCGCCTAGCTCCTCCTTTGACAGCCTGAGCACCGCGCTGCAGGAAGCGGGGTACACCGGCCGCGGTGCGGACTGTCATGCAGGGAGTATTATAGGCGATGTCAGGGATGCGAATGTGAGTGATTTCTCGCTCGTCTCCTCCATACAGTCCTCTTCCCAGCTTCACAGTGGGTCCATGGTGGCGAGTAGTTGCAGCCCCCACGACGCCGGGGTGGATACACCCACGCAGTGGCCACCGTTGCACGGCGACACGGAGCTCACGCGTCTGCAGCGGCCGAAAGGAAAACTGCGCCGGATACGTCCCTCCGACTTCACTCTGCCCACGTTCTTGCCGCGGGACCCGCAGGTGAAGAGCCGCATCGCGCCCCTGACGCCGCAGCCGCCCAACCGTTGCCCCGAGACGCGTCGTCTCTCAAGAGCCAGGACGCACGAAACTGGCGGTCCCGGTCCCACAACGGCCACCGCAACCGCGGCAGCCTATTCGTCGTCCCTCATTGTAGAGGCGACGAGGACGGTGTCTAGCAGCTTGTCGTGATACGCGCTGGACAAGGGGGTGAACGCGCTGTTCACCCCTCTGATGTTCCCTCCCCTCCCCGGATCGCTGTATTGCACTGGTTGAACAGCGGCGGACGGCGACTCCGATGCGGACTAGCCATGCACGGATGTGTGCGCGTATTAGAAGCGAAGTAGCCAAGAAGAAATAAATAATAAAAAAAGGGCGAAGAAAGAAAAGGTAGAAAAGAAAAGAAAAAAGGAAGGAACTGCTCATGACACGATAAGGAAACACGCCACATGAACTGGCTTAAACACACTGAAGCGAAATCCGTCTCCCCATGTATATGCCCTTATATATATATATATATATAAGGGCATACACATGGGGGTGTTGATGAATTTTCACGCCTCTGTTGCGGGAATTTGTTGAATTAACGGACGCGTTTTGCTTTATGTTATGGCCAACATGTCTGAAACATCTCTCACAATCTCCTTCCTTCTCGTCATTGTCATCGTTATGCGCTTCTGTTTTGCTGCTCTCACCTATAGCAGAGGGCAAACGAAAACCGAAAAAAAAAGAAAGAAAAACTGAGAGGAACATTTTTATTTTATTTTTTATTGTTATTGTTATTTTTTCACTCCTTCCGCTTATATGCATGAATGCTAACAGATAACAAAGATACATGGACACAACCACACCGTGTGGTTGTTTATTTATTTATTTTCTTCAGCACGTGATTCATGTCAGTGAGGCTCAGTTTTGCGGTGGGGATGGAGGACAGGCTTCGCCGCCAAGCCCTCCTCTTCTCCTCTCCGTCACTCCCGCGAAGGTGTTGGCTTGATGCCTCCGCATAGGAGAGGGAGGGGACGAGGAGGAGGAGGCAACATTGAAGAACAGATAGAACAAATATCCCGCTCCCTAGCGCTCACCTTCTCTCTCTCTCTCTCTCTCTCTCTGAATGTGTGGGTGTTTTCCCTTCTTTCTCCTTTCCTGCTATTATTTATTTATTTATTTATTTATATTGTTCTATACGCACGTGTGTGTATCAATACTGTGCCTGTGGTGCACAGTTGTGTTTTGTATTACAATAATGCGGGTGCGGGAGGAAAAGCAGAGCGGTCAAAGTGTCCTCGCGCAAAAGGAACTGTATTGTTGTGGGGTTCTTACATGCATTTGTGTACATGGCTGTGGAGCATTAACTGTTGTTCTTGCTGTCATTGTTTTTTGTACGCCTATGGATGCATACGGAGT